CGAACCAGCCCACGAGGCCAGGACCTTCCTGCCGAGCACGCGGGTCTCGTGGCCTTGGGTGGCTGCAGAGCCCAGCGCTCAGGCGGGCAGTCCGCGGTCCTCAGGGTCCAAACCGGGTCCGGCACCCTGCGTCTAGGTTCTGCCCTTGTCCCATCCCTTCCTTGGCTTCCTCTTCTGGGAGCTGCTGGGGTCTCTGGGGGATGTCAGGGGCATCCGGCGCGGCCAGGCTTCCACGGACAGAGCGTCTACCGCAGGGGTCCGCATGGCCAGGCCATCTCCGACGACCACTCAGCCGCCCTCAGGCGCCCCAGACCACGGTGGCTGTGACTCCGCGGGAACTGAGCTGTCAGGAGGAAGGGTATGGCGGCCGAGCCTGGCTCGTGCCCTGCGCTGAGCGATGTGCGCGCTCACGGCATCTGCACTAACCTGGGCGCAACGTCGAGGCCCCGCGCCGTGGGCTTGGAGAACAAGAAGGAAACCATCTTTCTCCCCGGTAGAACGACCCGAATTCGTCCTCACGAGCGAAGCCGCGAGTCAGCTCCAGCAGAGGGGCCGCCGGCCCTTCCTCTGGAAGACGCCGACACCTCCGGCAGTCGCGCTGACAGGTAAAGGGGCGGCGCGGAGGACGGCAGGCCCGGCCCCCCTCGGAACTCGTGTACGAACGCTGCCGTGCGCCTTAAAGGATTCATTTCACAAGCCTGAAATTGCAGTTTAATTTGAAAACTAATTCAGCCCCATAATTGGCTTTCTGCTCAAATCACTGAGCCTAAAGATTTAAATTCTTAATATTCAGATGACTTCCAAGTATCCGGTGCCATCTGCGCACTGATCTCGGGGGGACTTCCCCCGGCGCAGAATAAAATAAATAAATAAACGGGCCCACTAATGGAATAATCTATTTAAGCAAAAACTGCGCTGTGTAGATGAAGGTTTCTTTGACTTCATCTGCAGCATGTAGTTTTCTCTGCTCTTTAATATTTCAAAATGACGTTAATTTCAAAATTTATAATACAGGCCCCCGCACAGTCACAAGGGGTTAGGGAGAGCAGTGAATCCCAATGAGAGCCTTTCTTAGTTAAGAAAGCATCAATACGAAGGTATCTCTCTCTGGGCAGCTCGAGAAGTGCTGGGGGGCTGGCCTGGGCTGCCTCCGGCCGGGGGGACGGAAGAGCAACTCTGAGCTCCAGCCGGAGCGTGACGGAAGGAGGTGGACCGAGGCCGGTTTGGGGAGGACGGTCCCGTTATTCAGGTGCCGCCCCGGGGCGAGGTCCTGAGCCCCGTGAGTTTGTATCGGAGGCTCCAGGTGACAGTCACGGGCGGTAGTCACAGGCAGTGACAGGCAGTGAGTGACTCGGGGGCTCGGCAGGATGAGCGCATGGTGGGCTGTCGCCACCCTCCCGCCCTGGGGCCGACCACCCGGCCTCCCTCTGCAGCTGCGTGGACCCCACCTGCCGGTCCAGGACGCCCCAGGAGGTCCTCACAGACCCCGCCTGCCTCGCAGAACTAATCCTGGGACACAGGTGGGGGGTCCTTGATGCTCCTGAGCCGCCCTCTGGTCAGGCTGAGGCTGGGCCTTCACTGAAGCCCACCCTTGCTGGGCACCCAGACGGGTCTCTGCCTGGGGAAGCTGGCAGCCCCGTGGTGGATCCAGGCAGCAAACTGACTAAACGTGTCACCGAGTGCCAAGGGGGAGTTCTAGGGCACAGAGGGGCCGACTCAGGAGAGTGGTGGGAAGTCTTTGCTGAGGGAGGGGAAGGAGCCAGCCCCTTGAGGACAGGGAAGGATGCTCTAGGCTGAGGACACAGCATGTGCAAAGGCCCAGGGGCCTGGGACGTGTGCTTCTCCCCCGGGTGTGCAGTGTTTGTCGGCATGTGCAGAGCACATACGTTCTGGGCTGCTCAGCTGGACTGTGGGCTCCTTGAGAGTGGGGCTCGTGCTTTCCCGTCCTGCACCCTCCGCAGCACCCAGCTCAGAGGCCCACGTCGTGCACAGAAAGGCACATCCGCACAGACGTCTCCTGGGGGAAACGACACATGCTACACGCTGCCCTTCTCCCTGCTCCTTCTTCTGGCCTGATGGCGATGGTGTACGTGACGCTTGGGGGTGCAGCGGCCCCTTTGCGACCATGTGGTGAGAAACGGGAGGCGGAGGCAGCCCAGAAGGCTTTGGGCTCTCACCCCAGCCTCTACCGGTTCCAACTGCTGTGGCTGGGACTCTGTGACTTTCAGCCAAACGCGTTCCTGACACGCAGAGCGGGAAGGGCAGGCGGCTTCGCAGAGTGGGTGGAAGCGAGCTCAGGGCCTGCGCACCTGGGAGATCGCGCCCTCGCCTGCTCGCAGCTGCCCGTCCTTCCTCTTCTGCTCTTGCCTCTGTTTTGCACGTGTAAGGTGGGGAAGAACAGCAGCCGGCACCTAGCAGCAGCTTCTGAGGCCACCTCGGAGGAGCCGGTAACGCAGAGGAGAGTGGAGTCGCGCACGGCGGGCGAGATTCGGGAAAACACCGCCTCAGCCGCGGCTGTTGCTGCGCCCGAAGCTGCTGTCGTCTCTGGCTTTCCGGCTACGTGAGCCAGAACTCTCCCTTTTTCTCTGCGGCCTGCTCACCTTGGGGGGCTGACGGGGCGGCAGGGTGGGTGCTCGCCTGAGCCCGTCCACGCTCCCCCAGCCCAGCAGAGCCGTCGGTGCGCTGGGGGCAGAACGTGGGGCGACCGAAGGTCCTCGCGGGATCCTGGGCCCTGAGTCTGCCTGCTCATGTCCCCACGAACCCCCAAAGCTTCAGAGGTTCTCAGCTGAGTCAATATTTAATCTCTCCCCGTCTGTTTCCTGTTAGAACACGCGTCTGAAACCCTTCATTAGCCTCTCCTCTGGGGAACAGCGACTAATTTCTGGTGGTGGCTTTTCCTCATCCCGCAAAGGCACCGTGTGGAACCTTCTGTTACCGCGACCCGCTGGCGGAAGAGAAGAAACTGTGAGAGGACGGCCAGCCTCGCCTGGCCCCGACGGGGAGCGCAGGACAGGCGTGAGGGGCCCACGTGCGTCCCGCAGGCTCGGCTCGTGCAGCTGACACTGAACCCCGCATGGTCCTTGGGAGGCTCAGGAGGGAAGGGAAGGACCAGGCCGAGAGGCGCTTGATCCGAACCAGTAAAACCAGCTGCACGTTGGGATGACCTTCGCTGTTGATTTTTTAGAAAATAGGACTTGGGAGGTTTGATTTGTGACAGAAAGGCCAGCAAAACCCGGGTGCCTTTAAGTCGCGCCCTGGGTCTCGGCGGGGGAGGCCGCTGCTCCCGTGCGGGCAAGACAGGCCCCCGCGACCGCGACCCTCGCCAGCCAGGTCGGGCTTGGGCCGCCTCCCTCCCGCCGTTGGGTGCTCGCAGCCAATTTGCCCGCCCGCCGCCTGCCTCTCAAGGGACTGCAGGGACTCGCGGCCCAAGGTTCTGGCAGAAATAATGTCGCATCCGTCCCCTCAGTGCCGCGGGACTCGCCGTGTCTCGTGATGCTGAAACACAATTCATCGGAGACACACTTCGCCTTGTTGAAACAGCAGCCCCTGGAGACGATGACGGCAGCCACCTCCTGGCCAGGGGAAGCGAAGACAGATCTTTGCCTTGCTGTCCCAGAGCCGGCGCAGCCAAGCCCTCCGCGGGGCCAACGCTGGGCACGAGGCACTCCCGGGCTGGCCCCGGCTCTGGGCTCCCTGCGCTCTGACCTCAACGCAGGAACAGCCTCCAGTTCGCTGAGCACCACCGGCCTCCCAAAGGCCGAACCCTCCCCATCTGGGCGGGGTCAGAGAGCCAGGGCTGGTGGCGGCTACAAGACAGGACACCCAGCACACGTGACATGCAGATCAACAAGGAATACTTCTTCGTGTCGGCGTGTCCCAGATGGTGCTGGGGACGTGCTTAGAAAGTTTGTTGTCTGCCTGGACTTCAAGTCTACCTGCGTTTTTGTGGCTCTGTCTTGTGGCCCCAGCTGTCCCCTCAGTGACCTCATCTCACCCTGCCCAACCCAGGTTGGCAAAGGCTTGTCCCAAGGAGACCCGTCCCCACCGCCTCGCGGGAGACAGTGCAGCGGGAGCTGCTCTTCCCAAACCAAGCACCGGGGCCCCTGCAGGGCCTGGGCTGCAGCAGCACGTGCTGGGGGTGTGCGCGCCCGGGCCCCCCCCACGCGCTCCCCCAGCTCGCGCTCCCACCCACCTGGGCTCCCACCCACACACGCACCAGAGGGCTCCCAGCAGCTCACTGCCCCTTCTCAGGCCTGGAGCCTCCTCACTGTTGAAGGGGAGGGCGGGCACCCGTTTCCTGGTGGCTATGGGATGCACAGTCACAAGACACGGCCCTCCCCTAACATGGGTGGTTGGCGCACGGTAAGGCGGTCACCACCGTTTGTGCCAGACTGGAGTCTGTGGGGGGACTGGCTCTGGGGTTAGCTCCGAGGGGAACAAAAGCCCTGGCCACGCGGGCTCGCCTCCTGGGCAGGGCGCTGGCCCTCTCTCGCTCCCTCCTGTGCTTGGAACCAAGCTCCAGGTGTAGCCCCTGAGGCCTCAAATGGCCTTATCTCTCTGACCTGACTCCCGCCCCAGGACCTTGGCACATGCTCTCTTCTCCCCCAGGCTCCTTGCGGGACATGAGCCGACCCCAGCCCCTCTCTGGGTGCGGTTCCTTCTTACGCTTCAGCTCCCAGAGAGGGGTGTCCCTGGAGGACAGCGGCCCAGGAGTTTCCTTCGGAGCCCATTGTCACTGCAGCTGCTTCATTCACATGTATTATGTTGCCTTTGTCCCCCCTGGACCCCGAGGGCTGTGAGGACGGGGCCCCCAGTAAACACTTGCTGTGTTGTGTGTTGTGTGTTCACACACAGCCCCACAGTGCCACCTGGTAGTGGGGGCTGAGTGGCCCTCCCCGGCTGTCGGGGCCCCACTCCCCAGGCCCTGCCTGCCTGCGCCGCGCAGAGCCCGTGGGGTCCCCAGGAAGTGACCGCCAGCGCACTCCCCGAGCGCAGCTCACCTGGCTTGGAGCCCTCGTCCACGGAGCCGTTGTAGACCTGGTTGAGGAACTCGGGCCGGTTGTCGTTCATGTCGATGACGTAGATGTACAGGTCGATGGGGTTCTCCACCTTGTTCCCGTTCATGTCCACCGCATGGGCGCGCAGCTGGGGGACAGCACAGGCGTGTCAGAGCCCGGCGCCACCCTGGGGACATCCCCGCCTCGGCCCACCCCAGACCTCTGGGGCCCGCTGGGACCGGTCCCTGTGCCACTTATAAAACGTCTGGAGCAGGACAGGCGCCACCCGAGAAGGGCGCTCACGACCACCCCCAGCAGCCGCAGAAAAGCCATCTGTGCCCAGTGGGTTGGGGGGGCTTAAACTGCTGCTACCGAGCGGTTGACCCCAGGGGAGACCCGGGAGGAGACCCGTGGGGCCCAGAGAGGCCCGAGCTTGGGTGGGAACAGGGCTCACCTGGATGAGGTGCAGGCCACCTGCCCCTGCCACGTTAGTTCCCGGGCTTGGCACGGGGGAATGGGTGGTCAGAGAGGGCACGACCTGGGGGAGGTGGGCCAGGAAGCCCCTCCCGCCCCCGCCCGGGCAGGGGGCTGCAGGGCTTTGGAGGGAACTGTCTTCAAGGGAAAAAGGGAAGGTTCCCTGAACTTGGCCGGAAGGCTCCAGAGGGGCCGCCCAGACTCGCCCCTACGTTTTGGGTTTGCTCTTGCTCACACACACCCACCCGCTGACGCAGTAAAACCCGAGCGTCAGGCCCTGGGCTGGACCCTAGATTACTGTCCATCCAGAGGACGGTGGACACTAAGAAAGAGAAGTGACTCATCAGTGGAGTGGCTGCAGCCCGTGGGGTGGGGGAGGCCAGGCAGGCGTCAGCAGAGACCTCGAGGACAGGACGTGGAAGAGAACACGCAGCAGCTGGCCCTGCTGGCAGGAGAGGGGGCTGGGGTGGGGCCGCCGGGGCCCCGGGGTTTCAGGGTGAAGGACCAACACTCGGGGCACGGAAGGAGTTTGCCCAAGGTCTCTCCCTGCCAAAGCTGTGACCGTCATACCACGGTGTCCCCAGCTCACATCTCTCTGCCAAAAAGCATGTCACCCTCGAAGCTGGACACGTGACAGCTCAAAGGCTCTGCAGCACGATAGCGCCAGGCCAAGGGCGCCCAGCAGGAGAGCCCGCCCCGGCTGCTCCCCAGACCCCCGGGATCCGGCGAGTCGCGCCTTCCCCGCCTGCCCGACACCGACGCCAGTGTTCCGGTTTGGTTCCGAGGAGCAGGGATTTTACACTTTAATTGTGTGTTTAGGGACAGTCTTGAGGGCTTCCCCGAGGAGGCGACCTGCGCTGCAGTAAGGAGACAAAGTAGGACGACTCCTGGGGGTGACTGCAGGCGGTGACGAGGACGGGACCACGCACAGGCATGGTCGGCTGTGAGTGTCGCGACTGACAACAGCCGGCTGCCCACCCCCCATCGCTCCTCCGTCCAGGACGGATGTGCAGCTCTGTCGCGCTGCCTCCCACGGCCGCCAGGTGATCCTTCATCCTGTCACACGCAGCCGCGCAATCGCGCACCCAGTCAAAGGTCGAGGGAGTTTTGAAAAAAAGTAATTCTGAGCTAAAATTAAAGTTACTATCTCCCAACTAAAGCCACACCGCTGGTTCCAGGCGCTATCTTTGGCGGCAGGAGCAGCCCAAGTGCAGATAACGAGGAAACGCAGCCACCGGGGCGCCGTGTCCGCTGTCCCGCTCCCTGCCCCGCCCCCCAAAGTTCAATGACATTTGCTGGCTCTGCGGAAAGTCTCGGGGAAAAGGTTTCTCCCGCCCATCTCCCGGGCTGGGCCCCCCCCCACGGGCTTGAGGGGAGTCTTGCCCGGGCGGTGGGGGAAAAGAATGTCACCAGAGTCCTCCAAGCTTTCTGCGACTTCGGATCTGAGTGACACGTGCAAAGTGAATTTCCTGTGATGCTTGGGGTTGGACACTTCTCTGTTCCCCGCGTGGGGAGTGAGATTGGGGGGTGTAACGTGGGTTCGGTCCTGCACTGGGCGGGGCGACTGTGAAATGCAACCCTGTCCCCTCTGGCTGCCTCTTTCTACCACCTCAGCTGTGCGCTGGGGCTTCCCCCCGGGACCCAGGACCGGGAACAGTCCATGCCGGCCGTGAAGGGCGAGTACGGAGTGCTTTTGGGGGATTCTCTTCGTCGGCAGCGTCACGGAGTGTTTGTTCGGGGCTGGGCAGCCCTGAGAATGCCACGGGCGTTGACTCATCGCAGTTTTGCCAGGATCTGCAGGGTGGGCATGGCCTCGATCCCTGGGTCACAGATGGGGAAACTGAGGCCCAGGAAAGTTAGATGACATTACGTGGTGGGATTCAGTAGTGTCTCACTTATGGAAACCTTAGCAGAATCTTCTAGAGCATTGTCTTGCAAGGCAAACAGTGACCTGGCTCATCGTCACACTCTCGGGCTGGGGACACATTCTTGCCCCCTCGTCAGTGCAGGGAGCTGAGTGGAGGACGCAACAGGATTCAGGGCACCTGGGAGGAAGAAAGACTCCAAACAGAGTCCCCAGATGTGTGTGTGATGTGCCCCTGTCCTTCCACCCCCATGACTGGGTCACGGCATATGGCGGGCGACCCTAAGACAGGCTGCTGTCGGGTGGGTCCAATCCGCCCACGAGAGCTTTACAAGCAGAGCCTTGTTCTGCTGGCGCAGGAGAGAAAGGCCAGGGTGTCCTACATACCCTTGCTGGGTGGCAGGGGAGGGGCCGCGTGCCGAGGAATGTGGGTGCCCTTTAGGAGGTGAGCGCGGCCCCACTGGCAAAGACATGGAGCCTCAGTCCTGCGGCCGCGAGGACCTGGGTCTGCCACCCTGGACGAGCTAATTCTCCCGAGAGCGTCCAGCAAGTGCCCAGGCTGCCACTTTGCTTCCGGCCTTGTGAGACCGGGGCAGAAACACGCCGAGCCCACCTGGACTCTGGACCCACGGAACAGGGCGCTCAGGACGGGGCTGGTGCACTGCTGTGAGCACTAACTTGGTGCCGACTTATTGCACAGCACAGAGAAGCCGCACATTCCCGCTGGCTGGCACGGCTTCCCCCAAAGACCCCGATGGGTGTGTTACGAGGGTGGAACCCGGGGGTCACGCTGGAGTCTAGCGGGCAGAGCGACGTCTGCAGAGGGGCTCCTGTCCCTGGGGAAGGGCAGCGTGTTCTCGGGGGACAGAGAGTTCAGGGACAAATGGAACAGGAGGCTTCGATCTGGACTTCGGCAAGTGGGTCAGCCTCTCCTGCAGTTGGGGCTCCTTTTCCCAGTGACCTGCCATCCCCGCGGGGGAGGAGGAGGAGGCTGGAGCCCGGGGTGAGGAGGGCCCTGCGTGCCCAGGACACCGGGCTCCCTATTGCCCCCTCGAAGATGGGAGACGAGGGTGGTAAAACCAACAGTGCAGCCTGTTCCCAGACCCGGCGCCAGGAAGCACTCGATAAACACTGGTGACGCCGTGTGGCTGTTTTCTCACCTTCAAAGTGGGGTAAAACCCCGAGACCTCAGGGCTGAAGTGGGAACAGAGGGGACGTGTGTGGAAGCATCCGGCAGTGGGAGCCCCCTAGAGGCCCCGACCCCAAACCCGGTGTGGGCAGGTGGGCAGGGCCTGTCCTTTCACCGGCCGGGTGGGGCTGGGGTGGGCTGCACGTGCTCTTGGTGGGGGACGTGCCAGCCTGTGATCCCAGCTGCTGCAGAACTGTCTGCTGTCAGAGACGCTGGCCCTTTTTGGGTGCTGGTCCTGGGCGAGGCTTTGGAGCCATGTGAGGCAAAAGAACCAACCTGACGGCGGAGGACAGAGGTGTCCGTGAAGCGCAGCGGGAGGGCGTGGCTGGGGGACTGGGTCCCGCTGCTGGCCCGGCCAACGTCTCAGACCTTGGTGCATTGAAAATTTCTGTGCCAGATCAGAGGAGGAGCTTGGGAACTGTCCCCCGAGGGGGTAGGTGGCGCCAGCTCCCTGGAGCAGCTGTCTCTGCGCCCTGAACCACCTGCCGCTGCTAGTTCTAACGCTCTGCTCTCACCATCTCGAAATTCTCCATGAGGTGTGGGTGCGGGGCTCGGGCATTCGGCTTTGCACAGGGATCTGGAAGCCCTGCAGCCACTGGGACAGGTGAGGGGCTGAGTGGGGGCAGGTCCCTGCAGGTGCCGTGGGCGGGTGGAGCAGCAGGCACGGCTGCGGCAGGAGGCCCTGGAGGTGTTGAGTCTGCCTGTGAGAAACAATGGCCTTTTAGCAGAGGGATTCTTGAAGGTGCAGGAGAAAGAAGCCCGAGAAGACCCCGGCTGCAGCCGCACCAGGAAGGCGGGCCGGGCAGTGCCGGGAGCAGTGGAAGCAGATGTGGAGACCGAGGCATCCAGCTGCTCACAGCTGGGAGGACGTCCCGGCAGGAAGTCACAGCACGGGTCACAGCCTTGAGTCATGGCCTCCAGGAGAAGAGCGGGAGGGGCTCCTCGGGTCAAGGAAGGGGGAGCTTCCTTTTAGTGACCACGATAATTAACAACGAATCCAATCTTGGAAAAGGTGAATTTAAATCAGCAAACAGCCTTGTCACGTGGCCCAAGGGGAGGCAGAGGGCTCCGATGACAAGGGTGAGGCTCCGCAGCGGCCGGCTGAGCCGGGAAGGGAGAGGGGAGCCCCAGCCCGGTGGGGATGCAGGGGCTGCCCTGGGGACTGTGCAGAGACCTGGGGTCACTGCTCACCCGGGGGGCCAGGCCCACACCTGGTTTCTCTCCCACCTTCCTTCAGTAAACGTCAGTGGGCCCCGGTCACTGGCCGAGCATCCTCTAGGCTTAGGACACAAGTGCCCCTAAAGAATGTGTTCCGGAAGGGATGCATGTGCACTGCAGGGTGGACACGGACTGACAGACAAGTCGGGGCGGAGGGAAGAGGAGGGCGGGCGAGGGAAGGGCCGGGGTGCAGGGTGGTCAGCACATCCCATCTGGCCAGGGCAGGTCGCTGTAAGCCTGTGCTCTGAGAACGGCCAAAAGAAAGGCGCGCGCCCCTTTTTCGAGGGTGACCTGGACTTCACAGACAGAGGCGAGGCCCTTGCGAGCCTCCCCAACCCCGGGGAAGGGATCCGAAACTGCCTCCTCCAAAGCCGGCGGCAGACCTGCCGCGTGTCCGCTGCCGCCCGCTTGAGGGCTGTCTGTGCTGGGTCCCTGAGCTGGGCCTAAAATAACTTGACAGCCCTGACGGGGCCACACGCGCCACAGATGCCGACTTCCCACTCATTGTCCTCCCTGGTTCTCAGCCCTGTGAACGACGTCACCGTCCTTGCTCAGAAAGGACACGGCGATTTTCCTGTAATGCTCAAGCACCCGAGGGAAATCTGTTTTTGTCCAGCTGACGCGCCAACGTATTTCCTTTGTAGCGCCTCTCCTTGGCCCTGGCCCCACCATCCAAGAGGCAAAGTCAGGAGGGCACCAGGTGCCCACCTCAGATGGTGCCCCTGGGCAGGGACAGGGGTATCATGTTGGGGCCTGCACCTGGTCTCCTCAAAGCCTGTCTGGTGCTGAAGAATCGGGGGACACAGCCTTCCTTAGGGGCTCTGGGCTGAGAAGGACTTGATGCCTCTTCATCCCATGACTATGCAAGTCCCCCAGAGTGGGACCACGTCTGCCCCAGTCACCTCTACATGCCCAGCACCTAACACAGGGCCAGGCACACGGATGCTCAAGGAATGTTCTCTGGATGGATGGATGGGTGAGTGGGTGGGTGCAGCGGTGGACAGAATGATGGGCAGATGGATGGATCAGTAGATAAGTGGATGGATGGATAAGTGGATGGATGGATGGAT